ATGATTTGATCTTGGATGTGTCATTTGATCTTGGATGTAGTAAGCGAGGTACGAAGAACGGACCCCTGGTCCATGTGGGGCTTCTATTGAGGTTCTGAAACTGCAGAAATGTGACACGGTACAGGAAGGCCACCACTTTGTTTACTGCATTGTATTTACAATATTCTTTGGTGGTGATGGTGGGAGGGAGATGCATGTTTAATGAACCACAAGGTCTTTCAATGAGGCATTGAAGAGTCAACTGCTCCCACTGATCACACATATCATAAAGATGTAACATCAAATGGAGTTATTGCGTGTAACATAACTGAATGCTTTTCATCTTTCATCAGTTCAAATAAATCGATACATTTTTCTTATTACTTTTTTTTTAAATGCTTGTGTTTCGACTCATTTCAGTCAAAGTTGGCTGACTTGATTTTTAAGGAAGAGGTGGTCTCATTTAATGAGCGTGCATCAATGAACTCTGAATGGCCCACTGATTCCAGAAAGAAACTTACTGGCCTAAAATGCTCTTCAGTTGTCAAATGCAAGTTTGCTTTAGAAAACAACATAATTATCTGTTATCAACAGATCTGTCTGAATAGTCTCAGGTATGTGGCCAACATGAGAGATAGGTAAGGGAAATAGGGAATGCTCACAGTTGATGTGTTAATTATAGAAGAGTCATGTAACTTATGCTTCAGTTTCTACTAGACTGGTGCACACTCTGTGGGAGATGGTTCCTCTGAATCCGTGTCGGTGAACTACCGACTGTGTGTTTTTTTCTCCCTTTCACTGTGTGTGTGCTAAAGTGCTACAGTCATACAGGAACCACGCCTGGGGCTAATAAATGTACAGAGCTGACTGGAACCAAGAACCATCGAATAAATTCATTAAAAGATCCAACTGGTGGATTCACTGTCTATGATGGACAGGCTTCAGATAACACTGATGTAAATACTGCCAACTTTACTAGAAGCCCACCCGGCCTGTAGCAAAGAAAGGAATGTCCAATACTATTTCTATGTGTACCTTTCAAAGTAAAAGACGAGGAATGTTAACGGTAAAGTTAATTTACATTAAAGTCAGTAACAAGCAGTACTCTCTTTAATCTTGATAAAAGTATATTTCACATACTTAAGTTCAAGTTGGAGGGTGTAGAAGAGACAAAATACAGATTGGTCCAGATCACAGTGGAAGAGGTCGTCAGGATGGGACAAGTTTTGTAATTATGTCCTAAACTGTCCCTAAACTTTTTTTTAAGAAAAGCTTTCTTCATAGCCACACTCCAACCTTTATGTATAAAATTATGTCCACTGATACACGCACACACACACAGCTGAATTCCACTGATACACTGTGGGTGTAAGTCAAACTGAACTGTACCAGAAATCATGGTAACCAGCGTGACTGAGGAGGACACTGAGCAGATGGGCCTATGCAGACTTTGGGAAGTACTTTGAGCCACTTTAAAACTAAGAGCTTGCACAGGTAGTTTTAACACATGAGCCTACTTGAAAATTGCAAAACAAATGCAGATGTGTTGAAGATAGTCAACTGCCAACAGTTTCCAAATTTGCCATGGGCGATTACTTTACCTTGAAGGTAATATTGACTTATATCCATTTTTTGTCTCATAATCTCTTCACTGAGCTGGGAGGTCCTTCTCATGGTTCGCCCATCGCCTGCGGTTTGAGAGTTTGGTAGTGCTGTGCAATACAATACATTGGTATTGATCTGAAACCAAGTAAATACAGGGCCACTATTGCCAATACCAATACTAATAGGGATACTTTTAACTTATAAAGGAGTTTGATTCAGTGTTTCGTGATGAATCAGCATGACTTTGCAAATTCTTTTGTAAACACATTTTAGTGATGATGAAATCATTTTTACTTTCCAGAGCACATCTGTCAGCTTTATCATATTTTTGAAGCTTGCAATGAGATCCAAAAGAAGGTTATTTTGGAGATCTGGAGTATGTCTATAATATATGTTCCTGTCGTTAAAACAAAAGCTGGACACCGTACAATCATTCTGGGCTCCACCACAGGGAAATCTACAGCCGTGCACTCTCCTTTCTAAACGAGTCTCACTTGTAGAACAAGCACAACAACATATAGGAACATGATATGACACTGTTACCTGCGACTTCTTCCTGAATATCATTGTGACAGGCCCTGGCTGGTTTATGTAAAAGGCAGACATTTGCTTAAACACTTGTGAAGATATCACACAAAAAGCAGCTTCCAGACTAAAAGAAGAACCCCTCCTCCCATGAAACCTCATATTCTTGACGATTTAAGCTGTAATGTTTTTGTGCATCTCCAGCAAATCCCAAAATGCTGCACTATTTTTTTAAATAAATGGACTGGTTCTTATATAGCGCTTTTCTACTCTTTCTGAGCACTCAAAGCGCTGTACACAACTTGTACATTTACCCATTCACACCCATTCGCACAAGCACATTTTTCTAAGTGCTTTCTAAGTAACATTCACACACATTCATACTCCGATGGATGCATCGGAGAGCAATTTGGGGTTAGTATCTTGCCCAAGGATATTTGACATGCAGACTGGGGAAGCCAGGGATCGAACCACCAACCTTCCGATCAGTAGATGACCTGCTCTGCCACCTGAGCTACAGCACGTTTTATCGAGCTACTCGACTCTATCAACTCTGTGATTTCTCTGTGCAAAGTTCTGAGACTGGATCAGCAGCTGGTTTCTTTCCTGTCCTCCTCTCCGCGCGCTTATCGCGGTGGGTGGAGCCAGGCACGTCTCAATTTATTCATCAGGTTGTAAAATTTTAGAGAAGTAGTCGGTCAGATGAAGTGGTGACACAGAGAAACAACAGCCATGGCGAGGTCTAAGGCGAGAGTGTACACTTGTTGCGCACTGATACTACTCTGCTTGGTTGCTATAATTGTGTGTATTGCTGTACTTGCGAGACGCAAATGCCCTACTGGCACTTTCTCGAAAGCTGCAGTGGCCGCAGACTCAGGGAGATGTTCAGAGATCGGACGGTGAGTGACATTTGAAACTTTTCAACCAAATTGCTCTCTTTACTATGTTCCAACTAATGCAAAATATGCTGTTTTTTTTTAAACCAAAGTTTGGCAAACACTAAAACATTTTGGGGATCTTAACCTGGATAATCATCATCACGGAAGTGGAGGATTATGGTGTTTCTCTATTTGCGATTACATAACCATGTAACATTTCATAAGAGAGGAAATTGGAGGTGATTTGCAAAACAGCGGTCTATGCAAAACATAAACATTTCCCTACTTTTAAGGCGCACTCGACAACGAAAATAGGAACGCAAAGTGATGAAGGACATTCTTCTGTTCATTTAGGGACATTCTTCAGAAAGGCGGCTCGCCAGTAGATGGCGCCATTGCTGCGCTGCTGTGCACCTCAATCATGAATCCACAGAGTGCTGGTATCGGAGGGGGGTCCATATTCACAATTATGGACGTCTCTGGTAACAAGACACCCTCACTCCCCTTATTCTAATGCAGCGCTTCAGGCCTGTCGGGAAGAATCAAGTTATAATGTCTCATCTTTTCAAAGGTAAAGTGAAAATCATCAATTCCAGAGAGACCGCCCCTGCAAACTTGAACCCTGACCTGCTTAAGTCATGTAACAGCACTATTCAAGTAAAAAAAGGTAGGCTGCTTTTCTTTTATAAGACTTCTGCATCAGTTTTTTATTCCTCTGCGTCTTTTGTAGGCTGTCTTTCTTGTTTTAATCTTTCCATGTGTCATGCCTAATTACCGGCTTGAGAAGCTCCACATTGAGTAATGAATTTACAAGCTCAGGGCTCAAAGTTTAAAGACTTCTGTTTGGTGGTTTGTCATGACATAAGCAGCAGATCCTGTCAGACCATTCTGCAGATATATTTTCTTTGACAGGGATGACTTCAAGTAGCTGTGGTTACATACCCAAGGCACTGCAAGATCACACGTGCTGGAACAGCAAAGTGATTAATCTTCTATTCAGTTTAGTGTAAATGTAGGCGGACATAAATGGAAAGTAAAGTATGTAAATGATATTGTGTAAACATTATTAAACCAGGAAAACTGTAGACATGTAAAAACAAATAGTCAAATAGAAGCATGGGGTGGCTGTAGCTCAGGTAGTAGAGCGGGTCACTTACTAACCGGAAGGTTGTTTCGATCCCAGTCTGCTCCAGTCTGCATGCCAAATATGCTCTGATGCATCCATCGAGAAGCTCGACGGATGCATGTTAGTTAGATAGCACTAAAAACCTAGCAAAGTGATTGGGTGAATGAACAAGTTGTATAAAGCGCTTTGAGTGCTCAGATAGAGTAGAGAAGCACTACATATGGATGATAAAGGAGTTACAGTAAACTCAAAACATGAGTAAATGTATGTGTTACTGTGATCAGATAGCAGATGGATTGGGGTTCCTGGGGAAATTCGAGGTTATGCAGAGGCACACCGGCTTTATGGGAAGTTGCCGTGGGCTGACCTCTTTCAGCCGACCATCAAACTGGCCAGGGAAGGATTCCCTCTTCCTTACGTCCAAAGTCTATACCTCCCAACCATCAATACAAGCAGCACCCAGTCACTGCGGTATGAAATATGTCGACAATGTGAGTTCAAAAATATGAGGAGCAAGCAATTAATGTTTTATCTCCCTGTCTTTGTCTTTTAGGAAACTATATTCAGACGAGAACGGAAACCTTCCTAAAGCCGGTGATACTGTGAAATTTGAGAAACTGGCTGACACTTTGGAGATGATCGCAAACGAGGGACCAGATGTGTTTTACAGCGGAACAATAGCGAAGGATTTAATCAGTGACATACAGAAAGAAGGTATTGTCAGACAGGTTTTATCCTGCTCTCTTTTCTGACCATTTTCTATGTCTGCCAGGCACAATGATCTAATTACAAACGAACAAATCAATTGGCTCTGTGAATCTCTGCCATTATCCCTCATAGGCTACACTGTGGGCTGTCTGGATCCATTAAAAGTTTTGATTATGAGATGCACTGTCTTCAGTTGTGCTTAGCAGAACCATTTGTTTCAATGTTTTTGCTCAGGAGGAACACTCACACTGCGGGACTTGGCCTCATATAAAGTTACGGTGACTGATGCGTGGGCTGTTCCTTTGGGAGAGTACCAGATGTACTTCCCTCCGCCCCCTGCCGGAGGAATCATCCTCAGCCTCATCCTTAACATCATGAAAGGTTCCTGTTAGACACTGACTGCAGAGATTCTGATCATCTATACTTTGAATACACGAAGTGATGCTTTTGGATCATTTTATTTTTTAGCTGAGCTGTTCAAATTATTGCATTTATTGGTTGTTGCATATGGTGTTTTTTGCATGGAAGAAACAGGTCCTATTAAATGTTTACAAGTGTGATACAGTGAGAATATATTTTTGAATAAAAGAAATAATAATTGTTTATATTTTCAGGATATAAAATGAACTCAGAACTTAAGACGACTGATGAAAAAATATTATATTATCATCGTTATATTGAAGCTTTCAAATTTTCCAATGGATTAAAGAAACATATCCGAGATCCAAAGTTCCACTCAGATAAAGTAAGTATCTGAAAATACCACCAAGAAGATTCAGGCATTAGGTTTCTCCAACAAGTACAAATTCATGTTTTACCAAAACTAATTTCACTCAATAACAGGCAAATCAGTTTATAACTTTTATGTAATGTGTGTGTGTTTTTTTTTTTGTTTTGTTTTTTTCTGGATGTTTGGTTGATATTCTGTCTCTGTTAAAACAAAAGTACCATAAATTAGAGACATTTCTTTGTAAACTTACAAATTAATCAGGGGATCAAGTAATTATTCCCCCTTCACTGTACAGTAATGTGAAAAAGAACTTGCAGGACCTTTGCTGTACAGTCTTGTAGAAAACTAAGTACACCCCATGATTCAGTGGTGTGTTGAACCACTTTTAGCAACACTATCTTAAAACAATCATTTTCTATACGGCTTTATCAGTCTCTCACATTACTGTGGAGGAATCTGGCCCTCTCTAGGGTCTGGATCATGACTGAACATTTGCAAAACTGAACGTTTGCATAAAAATGTCTGCCTTTTACATGCTTCACAAGGTGCCAAAGCCCAAACCGTCCCTCCTCCACTACTGTGCTTGACAGTTCGTTATGAGGTGTTTGTGATGATATGCTGTGTTTGGTTTTGGTCAGTTCTGGTGTTGGTGATGTTCCATGAACCCAAAGTCAGTTTCAGTAACTGAGGAACACACCAACAAAGCCTCTGCCTTTGACTGTCGTCCAATTAATGCTGAACCAAACGCCTACATACAGCCTCACCTCTGGAAGCAGAAAATGTAGCGGTCTGTTGTGGTGAAGAGAGATCTGAGTGTGAAAGCAAAACTGTCTATTTACTGCTCAGTCTATAGATTCCTACTCTCACCTATGATCACAAGCTCTGGGTAGTGAGAAAGGAAGAGATACAGGCAGTGAAAATGAGCTTCCTCTGAAGGGTGACTGTGCTTAGCCTCTGAGTTAGGATGAGGAGCTCAGGAGGGGCTCAGAGTACAGCCACTACTCCTCAAGTTGAGGTGGTTTGGAGAAGAGGCCTTCTTCTGTCAACCCTTCTAAACAAGCTATTAGTGTTAGTCTTTCCTCGCTGTACTGTGAGTTTAGAGGTTTTCTCTAGTTTATATCAATTTCCTTGAGCAAGGCACACTTTGACTTTAGGGTAAATTTACAGCAATTTCCAGTCGTGGCAAGATTGTAGCTTTGTGTTAACGCAATGGAACACTCTAGACTAGCAAACGTCTTCTTTTATACATGTATGTGTGCTCACTCTTACATCTGATCAAGTGCATTTGATTAACAGCATCTGGCTGCTACTTACCCTCTTAATTCTTATGGAAGCAGTAAGGGTGTACTTAGTTTTTCACATTACTGCATAGAGTGCTTTCCCCCGTAAATCTGCATTTTCATTTCAACATGATAATTCTGACAGGCGGTGTAATGTTTGAAATAAGTAACAAATAAGAGTTCTAAAAGCAGATGAGCTCAAATCCCTTTTAGATTTGTTCTAATTTGTTGTTTGTCTTGATATTCTTGTATTTTCTCTAATGCGTTTGTTTTTTGCCATCTGTACTTCTAACAGATGGCAAAGAATTTCACAGAGGGTAGCTTTGCAGACAACATACGGATCTTGATCAGCAGCGACAAGACTCACGATCTCCAGTATTACGGCATCACTCCGTATCTGGAGAGCATGGGTACCACACATGTGTCTGTGCTGACCGAAGATGGATCCGCTGTGTCTGTCACCAGCAGCATCAACCACATGTCAGTGTCTGGATGAATCTGTTTCACTGTTAGGAAGCAGCTATCAAAAATGTGTCTTCCTTTGAAACTGAAAGATTAAAAAGGTTTAAGAGATTATTTTTAGAAGCTGCTTTGTACAATGGCTGTACTGCAGAATGAGTTTGTATTGTCTGCGTCACAGGGTGTAGATCTAGTTGATTTAATGTTGTTTTCTTTACAGATTTGGCTCCAAAGTCTTCTCTCCAAGTACTGGAATCATCCTCAACAACCAGTTGCATGACTTCTGTAGAAGAGCTGAAAGTATCTCTACAGGTAAAGGATCGGCACGATCCATTTTACATTTAATATTTATGAAACTCAAGCAATCACGGGAGAGCATTGGGCAGAGGAGGTGGCACAGTGAGGATTCTTTCAATGGCTTTTTACTAATGGTACAAAGAGTTTATTTTTTAGTGGTAACTGTTATTTTCCCTTTCAGCAGTGGGATTAATGAAACACTGCCTCATTGTTAGACAAATCTTGTGAGACCAGTTTTAAACTGGAGCAACGGGTGACTCAGGAGCTTGATACAAAAAACCCTCCAAAACGTTATCCTACCTTACGTCAAGATAAACAAGATAAACTATGTGTAAACACATCTTGTTGTGACCTATTATTATCTCACAGTTCTGAAATCATTTTCCTGACACAACATATTTTTCTTTTATGTAATTATGTCAAAGATTCAGATGAGGCTGCCGTAACTTTAAGACACATATTCCTCAAAATCAGGTAATGTCAGTGCCAGCCAGCTGCTCATCTAGGTCACTGGGACAGTTTGGGGCCCAAAAGAGAGACTTCACACTTATGATGTAGTTACATAAATACAGAGAAATTTCCACAGTTCCAAAACAATTAGGAAGGTTGCAACTTACTATAATGATTATAGCATATTTATGTATATATGTCTGTATGTACCCTTTCACCTCCTTAACCGGTGGACTAATCTGAACAAAACTTTGCACAAACATCGTCACACATACAGCGATTATTAATATTATTAATACAGCAATTTTTATGTTTTTTTTTTCCATCATCCCTCTGCAAATGCGACGTTACGTTCTCAGTTTTTTTTGTTTCACATGTCATGTTCAGTGTACCCCACCTATACCTAACTTAAAGGTGACCAACATTTGCATCTGTGTATTGATTAAGTCACCACTAAAATACAGAATGGTGTTTTTGCTAGTAATTGTAATAGAGATTTAGCCAACTTCAAATAGTCTACATACCAAGCTGTCCAAGGTTAGAAATAATCTGTTTACTTAGCGGCACATTTTATGTGTTTGTGGTTGGGCATTTGAATAAATCATTTTCTATTTGGATATTATTATTGGTCCAGACATATTCGAAATTTCTTTCTATATTTCTGTACAAACACGTGTGAGTACTTAGCTACACTGGCACTTTTCTGTCGATATATCATATGTTGATGTAATTGAGGTATTTATATACCTGATAAAAATGCATATTTAATATTAGCATGTTAGGTTGTGAGCATGTTGGCATTTTAGCATTTAGCTAAAATTAGCATGCTATTGTTAGCTAAATGCTAAAAGCTCTTCTGTACCAAAGCAGGGGTTCATGGCTATGGCTGTACTGCACTTCAGCTAAAACCTCCCTCAATAAAATGCAGCAGTGCTTACAGGCACTTACAAAAGATAGCTTGAATCTATGTGATGGAGGGACAAAATCCCGTGTAACTACAAATTCCTTGCAAAAATTCTAGAGCTAGTTAATATGAAGCTTAAGCACCTTTTACACCTTTAGGAGCTGTGGATATCTTTCAGTTTTTCAAATTAGAAGAAATTTATCATTTCCAGACAGTGTTTTTTATTGAGTCTCAATATGGAGAGTGTCCTTTGTACTAAGAGAGACTAACTATTTATAGATATCCACTTAATTAGTGTTGCCTGCTGAAGTATTAGGCTGAACTTTAGAATATTTTTTGCACAGAAATAGTTCTGTGAACATTTCCATCAGTGTCTGATGTCAGATGCTGAACAAAAGTAAACGGCACATGTCAGGGTTGAATAAATGCCCTTCACCCTCTACTTCACATCATTCAGAAGCAATCATTTTGTGATCATTTTTCTCCTAACAGTGATGAGTGTGGATTGTAGTTCTGTGCTGTCACTCAAGGCTTTTGTTGTATTTCTCAGGAGAGCAGCCTCCCTCCTCTATGGCTCCAGTTCTGCTGAAGTCTCAGTCGAAGACACTGGTGATTGGATCGACTGGTGGGAATATGATCACTACTGGAATGGCCTCGGTATGTGTCCAGGAGATAAAATGATGCAAACCCTCTTTGGTGTTAGAGTAAACATTGTAGTCAGAGGCATTTTCACCCTAA